AGGGCGGCGAGCGGAGCAGGGCTGCGTCCGGGCGCTCGCGGGGCCTGACGCTCGGGGGGAAGCGGCGCCCCTGCCTCCCTGCCCCGCCCCTGCAGGGTGGTCACAGGGACGCGGAGTGAAGACTCACCAGGACTGGGGGAATTTGATGCAAGCGCACCTGCCTTGCAGGAAGGATTAAAGAAATGCTTTAGGGAAATGGAAATGCATATAGTCCAGAAATTTGGACCTACATAAAATAAAGGAAAAGCATCAGAAAATGAATAATTCGAAGGTAAAATAAAATCTCCTGATATCCCCACTCGGTGCAGTTGAAAATCCATATTTAACTTTTGACTTTCCAAAAACTTAAGTGGTGTCTCTGTCTCCCCAGGGGATTGGTTCCATGAACCCTCCCCACCTCCACCCCTCACCCCCACAGATAACAAAATCTGAGAATGCTGACTCCCCCGCATAAAGTAGCATCAAGCAAAGCATACCCTGAGCCCCCACATCCATGGACTCCCAAGTGCAGATCAGAAAGAGTATGGATATTTCTTTTTTTTATCCACGTGTACATGGACCCATGAAGTGCAAACCCATGCTGTTCAAGGGTCAATTTTATATATATATATATATATCTTTATTGATGTCAGAGAGAGGAAGGGAGAGATACGTCAATGATGAGAGTCATTGATCGGCTGCCTCCTGCACGCCCCCTGCTGGGCATTGAGCCCACAACCCCGGCATGTGCCCTGACCCGCAGCTGAACCGGGATCTCCTGGATCCTAGGTGGATGCTGAACCACTGAGCAGGCAACTGTACTTTTTTATTTTATTCTTTATTTTATTGGGGTGGTATTGGTTAGTAACGTTATATAAGCTTCAGTGCATAATTCTATAATACATCATCTGTATACTGCATTTCTTACTATTATTAATCTAACAGATAAGTTTGTTAATAATAATAGCAACAGTGCATTTGGTTAAGTATGCTTATGTATAGGTATATACTAGAGATTCTCTAACCATACAGTCCCAGAATGGAGCTCCTTGATTTTTATTGAAAATTTATAACCACACAAAAATCTGCACAAGGATGTTTGTAGAAGCTTTATTCATAATTGCCAAAACTTGGAAGCAACTAAGTAGGTGAATGGATTAATAAACTGTGGTATATCCAGACAATGGAATATTATTTAGTGCTAAAAAGAAATGAACTCACAAGTCACGAGAAGACATGTAGGAAACTTACTGCACGTTACTAAGTGAAAGAAACCAATCTGAAAAGGGTACAAACTATATAATTCCAATTCTATGACATTCTGAAAAAGACAAAACTATAAAAACAACAAAAACACCAGTGGCTGTCCAGGGGAAGGGGGAGGAATGAACAGGCAGACACAGGAATTTTAGGGCAGTGAACCCCTCTGTGCGATGCTGTAGTGGTGGAAACGTGCCATCACACAGTTGTCCAGACCCACAGAATGTCCAACGCCGAGAGTGAACCTAAGGTGGACTCTGGACTCTGGGCGAAGATGATGTCTCAGTGCAGGTTCATCGAATGCAACGAATGCTTCACTCTGCTGGGGATGTTGATGGTGGGGAGGCTGGGCCTAGGTGGGGGCAGGGGCATATGGGGAATCCCTGTACTTTCTGCTCAATTTTGCTGTAAACCTAAAACTGCTCTGAAAAAATGGCTTATTATATTTTACAACCCACAAGTAAGAGAGACATGAGTGACACTGTTCTGTAATTATTTTTATGGTTGATTACATTGCTGATTTTCCTTATGGGGAATGAGAAAGTGCTTTAGGTATGTTAGTAAGTTTCTAACCACCTGCACCTTCCTTCTGGAATTCTGAAAGGTTTTAGAACTCCTGTGTCAACAGCCCTGGTTTGGATGGGAAAATTCTCTACCCTCCCTGGAAATGCAGCTCCAGGGTTTAAATCCACACTTAATCCACAGGGGCAGAAAAGGAACAGTGGCAAAATGGGTGGCCTTGTAAACTTCTTACACACTAATAGTGCAAAACCTGCTATTGAGAAACAGAGCTCACGGGCACCCAACAAAGGGGGTCAGGGTGCTGTCCAACTCGTCTTTCTCCCTGTGGATCCTGAATGATTGCCTCCAGAAATCCTGCACTTGATTCTAATCAAGTTACTCAGGAAAACACGGGACACTCCTACTTTCCTTGGCTCCTTCACCATTTCCCACTCAGACAAGGTGCACTCTGGGTTCGGCATCAGAACTGCAATGCACCTGAACACTCACCAGTCTGGAATGAAGAAAGAGTGGATGTTAATTTCCTCCAGTCTGTGATGTAAAAATAAAAGTAACTCTGTTTGAAAGCTTGAGGTTAAAACATGATAGAGTTCATGTTAAAAAGCTAATTGAATCCAACTCAGTCCAGACTTTGGGGAAGGCCTTCCGGGCTCCACCTGGGAGGGGCTGGACCTGCGTTTGTAGGGCCCTTTGTACGAGATGGAGACCAAGCCAATTTCCCAAATCAAGTAAATGTGAGATGGGGAAGGGGTTTGATAGGGACTATGAGGAGTTTAGATCCCCTTCGGCACCAACCGGCTCCACATCTGAGCACCTACGGATTGGACCGACATGGGGCTCATGATGGGCTCTTGTGCTGCCTCTATCCATCTCACACTTGGCTGTCTAAACCTCGTCTCCCAGGCAGATTCAGTTCATTTCAGCCAATCCCGAGGCTCCTCCAGGGGGAAAAAGGCTACGGTGATGGCCACAAAGGTGGGCCATGGCAGGGAATCCTATCGAAGCCCCTTGGCGTGGAGATCAGGAGAGGACTAAGGTGGAGAGGAGGGATGACTCACCTGAGAGCACTGAGTGAAAGAGCACCACAGGGTTACGCTTAGTCACTGTGCCCACGTAAACTGGGACAAGCGTGGACTCCTTCCTTGAAAACTTAGTCACTGATGCTGGAGGAAGAAGGGAGACAAACTAGATTGCAAGCATGTCCTGGAGTCGTCCTGCATCATGCCCTGATGATATTTTTGTTAGAGGTACATGAGAATGCTTTCTTCACTCTAGATGCCACAGAGGAAGCCACTGGCAGACATGTCTGGTCCCATCTCAGCTGGTCACTCCCTGAACTGGCTCTGGACAAACCCTCCAATATTCAGTAAAGTCTCCGGGCACATCTGTCCCCACTGAAACTGAGACTTCTCTAATGACAGCTTCCAGGGACTGCGATCTAGTACTGTGCTAGGAGCTTCATGGTTACTAAACTATTTTACCTTCATGATAACTCACAGGGCATCACCATTCCTGTGGTACTAGGAACTGTGCATTAATTAATAACACATTAATATCCTCCAGTCCATGACATTAAAAACAAACAAACAAAAAAACAGAGAGAACCACAAATCAGAGGGATTTAAAAAAAATAATGCTGAGAACCTCAAAGCTAGGACTGGAGGCCAGACTACCCATCCAACTGGGCTTCACCCAGGGGGCTGTGGCCTCCTGTCCCCGCCCAGCTCCCAGAAGTGGCCCCCACAGGCATCCTGAAAGAATTCAATGTAAACTTTTTATTATTATTCCATGCTCACATCATACCTGGAGCCCAAGCAAGAGCCACAGCCTCTGGTCCTTGAGTACCTAACAGGGAGGACTAACTTGATTACCTTGTTTCAGGACTTTCATCCACCAGAGAAATGGGAAAGGAGAAAAAAGGGGGAGGGGAGGGGAGGGGAGGGAGGGCACGCTGGAGCTCCCTGTGGGAGGGTGTTCAGCGTGCACAATGGGTGTCGACCCACAGACGTGAGTGCATGCATATGTGCAGGGTGTGTGCACATGCAAACAGATAGGTAATGTCTATGGGGAAATTCTGTTGTATGTGATTGTGATTCATTTTGAAATGGAGATGCTAAAGGTATTTGAAAGCTGCTTCCTGAATGACAAATGCAAGTCATCCATCTCAACCAGCAGAGCAGGAAGAGGGACACTGGGGCATCCTGTGACACCTGGTGGGATCTGAGTAGCCCTGGCGTCCCATCTTCCTGTCACCAGGAAAGGTGACGGGCTGTGTGGGTGGGAAGTGCCATCCATCCCTGCCTCTTGAGCCTTTGTCCAAGCCCCTACCATCACCCCTCTGTCCTACTCCACTTCTTTAAACGGCCCATTTAAGTCTTCTGACCCCAGGAGGCTTTCCTGATCCACACAAGCTCACAATTTCAGTCTTCTTGTCTGAAACCCATTGTGACCTGTAGTCACTCCCTCCTGACAGCTGGGTTATGAGCCCTAGAACATTAACAGACTTTGGTACTGGGAAGTGGAGTGCTGCTATAGCAAACACCTAAAACTGAGGAAGTGGCTTTGGAATTAGGTAATGGGCAGGAAGAATTTTGAGATGCATGAGGGAAAGAGCCTAGACTTCTGGGAAGAGACTATTGATAGAAATATGGACTTTCGGGGCAATTCTAAGGAGAGCACAGAAGGAGCATGGTAAAGTGCCTGTTATCTCAGAAAAGGCATCTCTCATCACGAATAGAATGTTAGTAAACATGGTTGTTAGAGGCATGTATGTTGAGGGCTCAGGAGAAAGCGAGCACCATGTTATTGGAAATTGCAGGAAAGGCAATCCTTGTGAACATGCTGGCAAAGGCGTGGCAGAATTGTGTCCTATATTTATGTGGAAAGCAGGACTTATAAGTGATGAACTTGGATAATTAGCTGAGTAAAATGATGAAGGGCTTAGACTGTTATTTGTAATAAAATGTGAGGAAAGAGGTAAATTGAGGAAGGAGCTGTGAAGCAAAAAGGAAACCAGCTCTTGAGGATTTGGACGGTTCTTGGCTTATCCATATCACAAAGGATGAAACAATCAGTAGATTCACTGTCGGGAAAGCGTGCTCTGGAGAGAGGACCTAGGGCAGCCGGATAAACTTTTGCTGAAGAGATTAGGCGTGTGACTCATGGATCCACTCAACCTCTCAGCAGAGCCAGGAACAGAAATGGGGCTCCCCACAAAAGATCGGGGGACACTCTTGTCTAATGGCATGAATTTTCATGACACACATGGTAGAACCACAAGGTTTTTGAGAATGTTGTATCAGCACAACACTTCCAGCTTGGCCTGAAGAGACAGAGATAGGACAAAATGAAAGAGAGCCATCAGGTTTTCAGATTTTATAGGCAGGAAATGGGCTGGTAGAGCTGTTGAGCATATGTTGCCTTTCAAGAATGACTACAAGGGCTGAATCACAAATGTAGAGGTGGAGGCTGGAGGTGTGAGAGCGAAGGCCTATCACGCTGCCATGGGTACAGAGGCCTATGGAGCTGTAGGCCCGGATGATGTAGATTTGAGCCACAGAGGATCATTCTCAGGCCTTGAAATCAAATGAAACTTGCCCTGCTGTATTTCTTTTTTTTCCTCTTTTTTAAAATATGTCTTTTTTATTTCAGAGAGAGGCAGGGAGAGGGAGAGAGAGAGAAACATCAATGATGAGAGAGTCATTGATCGGCTGCCTCCTACATGCCCCCCACCGGGGATCGAGCTTGCAAACCAGGCATGTGCCCTGACCAGGAATCGAACCGCGATCTCCTGGATCCTAGGTGGATGCTCAATTCCTGAGCCACACCAGCTGGGCATTCCCTGCTGTATTTCTTACTTGCTTGAACTGATGACTTCTTTATTCCTTCCATTTTCTCCCTTTTGGAATGGGAATGTCTATCTTATACTTGTCTCACTATTGTATTTGAACTTCTAGTTTCTCAGGTCCATAGATGGAGAAAAATTTTGCCCCTGGATGGATTATACCCAGAGACTCACCCATACCTGATTTAGATGACTTAGATGAAAATTTGAGACTTTTTGAGCTCATAATATTTAGATGAGGGTTGAGACTTTTGGAGATGTTGGGATGGTATGAATATATTTTGCATGTGGGGCAGATATAAATTTGTGGGGCCAGAGGTTTGACTGCAGTGGGTTGAATGATGGCCCATGAAAAGACATGTCTATGTCCTAATCTTTAAAACCTGTGAATATGGCCATATTTGGAAAAAGTTTCTTTGCAGATGAGATCATCCTGGATTTAGGATGGGCCCTAAACCATTGCAAGTGTGCGTCCAAAAACACAGAGGATCAACAAAGAAGAGAAGGCCGTGAGAAGACAGAGGCAGACACTGTAGTTATGCAGCCACAAGCTAAGGAATGCCTGGAACCACCAGGAGGTAGAAAACCCAGGAAGGATTCTCCACCAGAGCCTCTGGAGGGAGTGCAGCTCTGCCAACAGCTTGCTTTTAGACTTCTGGCCTCCAGAACTATGAGAATCATTTTCTGTTGTTGGTGATAATTTGTGATGGCAGCCCTAGGAAAATAATACAGAGAAAAATAAAACTGCTATATAACAAAAAAATCTCAAGCAGTGTCTTAAAATAACAATCACCGATTTTGTTCATGAATTTGGGGGTTTCTGGGTTTAGCTAGACATTTCTCACTCGGGGTCACTCAGCTGGTTGTAACCAGAGGATGACTAGAGCTGGGCCATCTTGAAGGCGCCTTCCCTCATGTCAGGCCCCTGGATTAGTAAGACTCAAACAGCTGAGGGCTGGAGCTGGGGCCCCTTGGCCATCTCTCTCTCCCTCTACGTGGCAGTTGCATTCTACTGGAGAAGCTGTCACAAAGCTATGCCCAGTCATAAGGGAAAGGAACACAGACTCTACCTCTTGGTGGGCACATAAAGGAATCTGAAAACAATAACACTGACTCAATTCAGGGAAGATGGTGAAATCCTCCCATTAGAGCTGTCTTGCTTTGGGGAACAAGGAAGCTGCAATATCTATATCCCAGCAACCATCAGTCATCCACCCAGTTATGGGCTGCCAGGGGGAAACAAACATTCTCAGATCCTTCCAATTCTCCATGAGAGCAGGAAACATGGGTTCTGGCAGCCTGAAGGTAGGCCTCTGAAAAATGCAGGTGATGCTGTTGGGAATGAATGAAAGCACCTGGGGGAGGCAATGTGCACAAGCACTGTACTGGATTCCTGGGGATGATGGCAGAGCTCCCTGATCATCGGGGACATACTGCCAACTCCATGTGGAAATGTAATGCATACTGCTGGTGCCTTTCCCAGGAATAGGGAAAGTCTGGATTATGCAAATAAATGGCACTGGGGAAATTTGTTATTCCTTTAGGAAAAAATAATTATAGGGCCCATGCCTCTCTTCATACAATATAATTTCCAGAGTAATTAAATAGCTAATTGTAAACGACGACAACCTAATACAAGTATGTGAGGAAAACGTTCGTGTGTTGAAGATGACTTTTCTAAGCAGGGCACAAACCCAAAGATGATGAAGCAGACGACACATTACATAAAACTGAAAACACAGGGACGATGGAACACAACACAAGCAACTAGATAGAAACTGGGCAAAAGTAACTATCACATATAAAATAGGAAAACATAAGATAACTCAGAATGTATGAAGAGCTCCCATAAATCCGTAAGAACATGAAAAATCACCAATGGAAAAATGGGCAAAGAATATGAATTGGTGATTCACAAAAGGACTAGACATGCCAATAGGCAAATAATAAGTTGCTAAACCTCATGAATAACCAGCAGCATGAAAAATAAAACTCAGTGAGGTATCATTTTACCTCCACTAAATTGGCAAAAACTTTAAAAAGATAGATTATCTCAGTACATATATAAATGCTACCAGCTATTTTGTACAGAACAGTCTAGTTTTAGTGTTTCAATGAATTGTGCAGTTTGTAAAACCTGTAGAGAAATATTTGAACACTCTAGGAATTAATTTGTACCAAGTGGAATTCTGCCTGTTTTTAGCAAAGACTATAATTACTAAATAAAACTACTACTACATAATGAATGTTCCAACATGCTCCCCTGGTAAATGGCATTATAATATTTCAATATTTCACAGATGATATCAGCCAAAAAAAAAAGAAAAAAAGATTGCTTATCTTCATGGGCTAGAGTATGGTTATACTTCTAAACATTTTAAATTGGTTGAGCCACCTGAAGAACAGCATGGCAATATTTATCAACATTAATAACATGTATACTCTTTGACTAAAACTCCACTTGGAGGAAACTTGTGAGAAATGCTCTGACATGCATAGAAAAACATACTTCTGTAGATATTTACTGCAGCACTGTTGATAATGGGGACCAATGGAAAAACCTCAGTGTCCACCAGCAGGAATATGTTTAAATAAAATGGAACAAGTCCTGGCTAGTTTGGTTGAGTGGTTAGAGTGTTGGCGCACAGACCGGAGGTCTTGGGTTCAATTCTGGCCAAGGGCACGTACATACCTCGGTTCCAGGCTCGATCCCCGACCCTGGTAGGGGTGGGAGACAATCAGTCAATGTGTCTCTCTCACATTGATGTTTCTCTCTCTCTCCTTCCCTCTGTAAAGCAATGGAAAAAATATCCTCGGGTGAGGATTAAAAAAGTAAATAAAATAATTTAAAAATAAATAAATAATAAATAAAATGGAACAAGCAATATATATAAGGAATTATCCGAAGAAACAGTTTTCTTCAGCCATTATAAATACAAGATTTATAGACCAAAAAAACTACAAGAAAAAAAATAATAGAAAAATGCAAGTTGTAGAACAGTGTTGTGTCGATAAGCCCAGTTGTATTTAAGAAATCCAATGTAAGTGTGTGTACACACCATGTTTGCATATACCGACTGTGAACAAAAAAGGGCTGTACCCTAAACCTGGCAGCTTGGGGGTGCGGAGGGGCATGGCAGGCCTTACAAACTCTGTGATGGAAAGTAACCACACAGGATAGTACGAACATAAAAAACATTCTTAAGAGGGTCATGGTTGTTAGTCAAGTCTCAGGGCTATAGCATTCTTGATAAAGGTCAGTTTTTACCTTAAGTGAGCCTTGTGTATTGTCTCTGTGCATCTAGGATAACATATCTTTGAAATGTCACTAATTTTCTTTCCACACCCCGAGAAGGTGAAACCAGACCCAATGGGTCCAGGCTGCCTGTTGCTACTTCAGCCAATTAAGCAGAGAAAAAGTTGAATCATTTATGAATGTTTATTTCAATAATGCCAGCAACATGGGAGAACAGCAGGATTTGTTCACATAAAATCTGCTCTGTCTGCCCGACCACCCCACCCCACCCCACCCCACCATAAGCCAGTTCCTTATATTGGTTAGAAGGACAAAGATTACTTGGGGAAGTGGGCAAAAAGGAGTAAGAATGGGTTTAATGGTTTACAGGTTACAGGAAATGCGGGCTGGGGTTGCAAAACGGCAGGGGCTCCTCTGGGAGCCCTTTGTTTTGGGAACAAGGAAACAAGTTGTTATCTTTCCATGACAAAAGGAGAATGGACCGCATTCCAAGGTCAACTCCCATGTTTGGGGTGCACAACTCCCAGCCAGGTTAGAAAGTGCTTTTTCTAATTAGAACATAACAATCAGTTTACAGAACATGCTCAGTATTTCTTGTAACTACAGCTAACAATCACGGTCAACAGAGCATGACTAATATTTCTGCCCCCAAAAAGGCACACCCACCAGCACAAGAGCACAGACCACCGGAGCACAAGCGACTCCGCGCAGTCACCGCACCTTGTTGCCTGCACACCATCTGTTTATTGTTCATGTTAACTACCTGCGCCGACCGATGTAGCTGAGCGCGGATCTGTCCGCTTCACTTTTGGTGCAGGCCTGGGGCCGACCGGCAGGCCTGCTCCCCTCGGCGCCCTGCGGCCCGCGGGCTTCACCTCACCTCCCTCCGGTGCGATGTATAAGGCGAGCCACGAAACTGCCATTCTCTGCAGCCTGTTCTCAATCGGGGAGATTGCTCCGGGCATGTCCTCAAGTTTCGGCCCAAATACACTCTTATAATAAAACGCTTCCGTAGGTCGGCCTTCTGTTGGACACCGAGGACACCGGGAGGCTCCACAGCTACTGCTGTGGGACAACACCCGCACAGCTTAGTCCGCACGCGACACACAGTGAGCGCTAGGGGAGAGCTGGCTATTTTAATTCACGTTTCTGTATTTTTAATGATAACACATTCTGGGGTTACTTACGTAATTTGAAAGTAAAGATGATGGTTTTCAGTGACATTCAGGACACTCCCTGCGCGCCCATGCCCGCGCCGGGCGAGGGCCT